CTCATCTATTTCTTTACAACTCAGCTTTTGAGACTCTTTCTTAACTAAACTTTGGTTCACATCTATTCCTTTTCATTCAGGTTTAATGCCTTCTAAGGCTTTCCGAAGTGTTTTCAATAGAACAACATATTTCTTTATCTGATAATAACTTTAATTAATCTTTTCTTGCTACATAAATGACCCATCATCATTTCAATATTACAATGACTACTGTATTGCTCCCCAAAAGCTCTACGCTGTATTACACACTTGTCAAAACAACAGAGTTATTAAAGTGATGGCAGTGCAGTGCCATAATTTCAACTAGAAAACAGCAGTTTGTGGAAAAGGTCATTGGGAATGGCAAAAAGTCAGATATTTTCACTTATTTGTGTGCTAACAATTTAACTTGTCACAGTTTCTGGAATGCTAGCAGCGGACATGAGACACCTAGGTCAGAGACAAAGACAGTTATTTTCATGATAATAGCTGAAGCTAGAGTGTCAGAATTTGTATCAGTTCCCCAAATTCTGATCATTACTGGGTCAGGTGACACTTCACAGTTAATAGGTTGTTTTCTGTGACAGATATCTGAGCTTAGGAAACCTGGATCATGGATACAGTAATGGGCATTGGGACAAGAGAGAGACTGCTAATTTTATTTTCCAAGGCTTTTTGATGTGTGAACATGATTGACAAGAAAATCCAGAGCAAAATGAATCAGTGAATGTGCTCTAAAGACACACACAGTGCAACAACTTCCCAATGATGGTTTTCCCAACAGTCTTCCGTCTCAACTTCGATGCTGCCATTAGGTTTCATTTATTCAGTGCTGTGCATGAGCAAACCCCAAAGCCTTAGTGATGTCTGTATTTAATTCAAAATAGTATCAATTTAGGATTTTTTTTCTAATGTTAAAGGATCATTTGTTATGCAATCTTATCTAAATACATTTTATTCTCTATAGGAGAATGGTTTCCAAGAACCTCTGGAGAAAAGATGTGGGTTTTTTTTGTAAAATACTGAAAGGGAGAGTTAAATATTCCCTTTTTCACTTCCATCATGAAAAAGGTGACATGTAAAAACTCTGGTCATCAACACTCAGATATTTCCGAGTATTCCTTCACAAATCAATGTCCTTAAATATAAAAACAAGACCATGTTTTAAAGACGTGATCCAGAAAAGAAATAGGAAAGTTTTCAACATGAGAAAACTTGCAGGGAAGAAAAAATATCACTTACATGAGAAAAAATATTATTGTGTTGTCGCCAGGTATGACCAGGCTGAAGAGTTGAATCGCTGAGATGACATCCTTTTAACCAAGAAAGACTGCTTCCCTGACCCTTAGGAAGTGCTATAAAATAATGTTTGGGAGGAAGCGAATGTGTTGGCCAACACTGGCTTAACAGAAGGTCCTAAGAGCTATTCCATCTGGCAAGGAAAAGATTGTGAGAGCCAAACTCAGTGAGGGCACCTCTAGATTTTAGTGGGATGTGAGAGTTACTGACAGGTCCTAACACTGATGTCTGGCCCTCATGTTCTACTTAAAAAGACTAGAAATTCTACACCCTTAAGTGATATTTCCAGTGGCCGATGTCTCCCTGGAGTTCTTTTTACGCCTACAGAATTTAGATCACGAAGAAGCCAGAAGAACTGCTGCTGATATGCCAGGAAATAATGGAACCAATATTGTCTGGGACCTGAAAGGTGAGCTTGGCTTTCCTTCAAGTCTGTAACGTAAGTTTGGTAGGAAAACTCAGGATTTTGTTGACAAACCAAGTATTAGACTTTTCACTGAAAAAAAGCTCTTAAAGCACAGAAGACAGTGATAGATTTTAGTATGTAAAACTGAGGTCTAAGATTTAAATGTAGATATCTTCATATAATGAACAGATTAGAAACAAGAAAATCTGAGTTAAAAATAAACTCTACCCAACCTTATCAATTATCACTAGCAGCTATCTAACCCTATATATATATTGACCTACATTAAAGCCTTCATTCAAATGTGAGAAATGTTTGAGATAAAGTAATAGAAAATTAAATTATCAGCAGAAAGAAATGCCACAAAGACTTTTTCATTTGAATGAGTAGAAAACAATTATTATGATGGGCACTTTGAGAAATACAAACACAGATAAGACTTCATCTTCAACAGAATTAATTACTGCTCAAGCAGAAATAGGTTAAGATTGAATCAAATATAAGGTCTTAAATAGTATACTAAGAGATATTTAAAGAGATAAATAATCCAAATGGAAGATAAATTACTTCTTTCTGGCAGAAATGAAGGCTGTCTTACAGGAATTATGTTTAACCTGGGTATCAGAATACAGAGTAGAATATGGATAAGCAAAGGCCAGGGTAAAAGAGTATACCAAAGAGCTAAGAGGGAAGCATCAATATAATTAAACATTTGTTGTTGATGGCAAATAGAGTAGCTTGGAGTTCTATAAAATCAAATCCGATGAACCCATGCTTAGAAATGTAGGTCGTTACTTAGTCAATAATTTTGACTGAAAAACATAAGTTCGATTCTATGTTGTGGACAATTGGCAGATATTTAAGATAGCTAGACCAAGTGAGATATAATGTTGGAAAGTTACCATTAACCGCATCTCAGGGAATATGATAGAGATATGGAGACAGCAAGAGTAAAGATACAACAGAGTTAAGACAAAAGTATAATACCATATTGGCTATAGGGAAATCATCATTGATGATCTCTAAGATTAAAAAAATAAAATGTTGGGCAGGAACATATAAATATAACCCCTGCTTTCACTGTATTTGATGTCAGTATAATTTGTGGATGGGAAGGGGAAAACAAGTAGTTTAAATAAGGAAACAGGTGGACCCATTGCAACAATGAGAAGTACAAGTTGTCATGTTGAAAACGAACTTTACAACTTTGGTGGGGGGGGGAGGATTGGGTAGGGAGGGTGGGGAGGGAGTCTGGGAAGGGATGGGAAGGGGAAACAAAGGAGGAGGCTACAATGCTTGATAAGAAATGTACTCATTGTCTTGCCCATATGTAATTGTAACCCCTCTGTACAGTATTTTCACAACAAAAAATAAATAAAAATAAAAAATAAAATGTTGGTGAGAATAGAATCTAGAATTTTAAAAAAATGAATGAAAAAAGGAGAAAACTGTAAGTCATTGGTAAGTTTTGGAAAGACAATATTTGAAGTGTGTTTCTTCATAGATACAATGGTAAGTGTCTAAGTCACACGTTTTCTCATGTGAATCCTTAAAAACAGAATTATCTTCCTAGACTTGTAAGGATAAAATGAAATCACTTGTGTTGTTGAGTAGCATACCACAAGATATACCACAGAGTAGACACTGAATGAATCTGGGTTTCACCTTATACTCATGCCTTTCTTCACAGAAAACTTAATGTGCACATAGACATAGACTGTGTTTATACATGCATACATGCATACGTTGTATATACGTACATACGACATTACTGACTAATGACACAGGCATTATGCTCTTGTATTAGAGAAGAACAAACATAAAGGGCATCAACACACACATTTGATAAGCATTCAGCTGACGATGGCTGTGCCTATTACTGATGGTATTTAGCTGATGCAGCCAGGATTGCACAAGAAGACTCATCTAGTCAAACTGTCAGGTGATGAGCTCCTTAATCCCAGCAGATAAATCATCCAAGAACAGTGACCTCTGGCCTAACATTCTGGGATAGTGTGTCTTACCACAGGCCATTAGCAATATTCCATTTATATATATATATATATACTCCCTTGTTGTAAAATAGACGTGTATCACCCTACAGAGAAGGCCAGCTTCTACTCCAGATGATCTATATACCTAGACAGGAGAGACTTCATAATTGTGACCAAAGATTAAAATAGAAGAAAATTTTATGATTTAAGTTGCATTTCTAGCCAAAGGGAAAGGAAGCTAGGCTGAGCAATTACTTTAAACTCCCATCAAAAAACTAGTTATGCCAAAATATGATGGCAGTGATGTGTTTAAATCTAACCACAACTATGCATTTTAAAGTTTTTTCCCCAGAAATATATATTCCCAAATAGCTGTTAAATGACTCAAACTGTGGAAAACTCTTCATTTATTCTGATGTTATTATCTACATAAATCTGGTTGCAAACTCCCTTTTGAGACTATATCAGAACTAATATAGGAAGCAAGATACATCCAATTCTTGATCAGTACTTTTGATCCTACTTTTTAAACAATCATTTTACTTTTCTATCATATTATATACTCATATCCCAGTCCTAAATCTGGAAAATAACATTTTGTCTGAAAATAATTTAACTGCACTCAGCTTCATTACTTACATTTAAAAGTATCTGACAAAACCCAAGCTTTTGCCTTTACTCCATTTGTTTATTTACTGAAATCAGTAACTAAGTACAGAAAGGAAGTCAGTTTATACTAGGATACTGACATAAATCAAAGCTCATTGGAAATTTCCACAATAGAATAGATCACATTCTTTTGTTGTTGTTGTTGTTACAGGAATCTACACATTCCTTGGCAAGACTCTTACTTCTAAGGGACTGTTGGCAATTTCTAAGGAGAATGAAATCTGTCTTCAAAGAAAAAATGATTTGCTGCCATTTCAAAGAACTGCAGCTTTTAAAGACAATTTCAAGAAAGGAATTTGAAATATGTCGGTGCCAGGTTGGCTATAATTGCAATAAGTTCATAGCCTTCCAAAGTGTATGTTTGGGGTGTATCATTTAAGGACTGATCCTATTTATATTAGTCTTACTGGCTTACAGACATAGCTAATCAATGGAAGTCACTGCAAGGAGCCTCCAGTTTTATAGGAGGAGGGGAGCTCCGCTTCCTAGACTATAACAAAGAGTTCCCATGCAGCCTCATACAACAAGGAAGAAGAGTCTGTATACAGAACCAGCCGTCTCTGGGGATATAAAAGGGACCAAGTGAGGGTCAGAGCCACACCAGAGGCGCTCACTTCCTCCCTCGAACAACAGTCTGCTCTCTGAACCTGGCTATGTCTTGCCACAACTTCTGCTCTGACAACTGCAGCTCAGGATCTCTCCGCAATTCCTGCCACCTTCCGCTGGTCCCCTCCATGGCCGTCTGCTCTTCAAACATGAACTGCGGCGGCGAGGTCTTCCACTTACCCAGAAGCTGTCAAGACCACACCTGCTTCGGGGACAACTGCCAGGAGAGCTGCCAACCGGCAGGCCAGGAGTGCAACAACTTTGAAACTTCCTGCTACCCTTCCACCACCTACTATATGCCCAGACCCTGCCAGGGAACTGGCTTTTCTCCAGCGTCTTCCCTCATCTCGTCTTCCTGTCTTCCTGCATCCTGTAGACCTCTGAGCTATGTGTCTAGCAGCTGTCACCCAGTACGCCCTCTGTTCAACAGCTGTCAGCCTGTGGGCTGCGTGTCCAGTGGCTATCGCCCCTTTGTCTGTTTGCCCAACAGCTACCGACCTCAGAGCCTCTTGACTTCGGGATGCCGCCCCCTGGGGTGTGTGGCCTTTGGTCCTCAAACGGTGTCCATAGTGTCCAGCAGCTTCAGACCTCTGCAGCCTCTCTCCAGTGGTTGCCAGCCTCTCACCCCTGTGTGCGTCACCTGCCGGCCAACTTGCTGTGCACAGGGTGGGCAGTAAGATGAAGAAGATCCAGGGAAAAGTAAAAGCCAGCTCTGTGGACTTCTTCTTTGTGAGCAGAGACTACTTTGTCTGGGTTGTTACCATTCCCGATCTAATGCAAGCGTCTCTGGTCACAGGTTTCCCTTGTTTTCATCGGAGTTGATTTACAACACTCTTCAGGGTGGCTTGGGGATGGGGGAACTATGTATTTCATCCTTATTACAATAAACGAGACGTAAGTCAGAATGAAGAATCTGGTTTTCACTGATTTGTCTTTCATCACTTCACTCTACTACAAGTGACCAGGCTCAACTCTTTGCCTGGTCCATGACAGTTGCCTCTGTATCCTATCACCCAACACCAGGGTGATGGCTTTATGTGGGCTTTTGTTTTCTTCTAAGAGCTATTCACAAGTACAGAGACTTTAGGCTGTGTGCACTCGAGACTTAGAAGTCATTGGTAGAAGTTATGGAGGAAAAGAAAGATTAGCAAGCATCTCTTATCTTCCTCCACATTTGCACATATGCCCAGTCTAATACTCCTATATTTTAATCTAGCCATAAGCCTCTGATGGCTCCTCTAATGTGTTTCCGTAAGAAGGAAATCTAGACTTCTTTGCATGAGATCTGCTTTACTTTAGTGTCTTCCTACCTCTCTCTTGTCAGCATTATCCTCTTCTGCTCAATATCGCCACCCAAAATTCCTGCAAGCTTTTCTTACAATTATTTTAACATTGTTCTGAATGAAATCTGAGTTGATGTATAACATACTCATTAATCTATACACAAGTCACTGTTACACATCCATAGCCATTGTTCTCACTTCTAGTCGGTATCGTTGTCTTGCTTGTTTTGGCATGTTGGAATAAAGCCATATGCTGGAATGCTACCCAACATATCCATCTCTGGCTTCTTTTAAACATCCTGTGAGTGTCTTTCCCCTGGTCATGTGCACCTGTCATCTTTCCTTGATTTTTCTGGAGAAAAACTTGCTGGTTATAAACATGAGTCATATTATTAAGTGCAAGATAATACTTCTTAGAAATTTTGGGGGGCTGAGTAAGAAGTAGACAAAGTATGAACGCCTCTGGGGTGAAGAGGACCATCACAGTTGAAGAAATGCCCTGTGCTTAATGTGTTGTCACCCATGAGTGTCTCCAGGCACAGAGCTGGGGAAGCAGAGCAGAAGTGACACTGGAGAAGCACTGTCTGATTCAGAACTAATCCTATCTGATAGGAGAAAAGACTAGCCCAGAGCATCCCACCTGAGCAATGGATATTTTGACCTCTCCAACCTTCACTAACTTTTCTGGTTCACCTCAGTGGGGGCCAAAGGGACTAAGAAACACTTAGCACTTCACAGCTCAGAGACACAGACCACTGGATGACTGAGATCTAATGATATGATTACAGAATACTTGCCCTCTCCTCCACTTAACCCCACATACCAACAAGGCTCCTGTGTAATAACAATGGATGTCCTAAGAGAGCTCCCTTGGGGAAGGAACAAGCTCCCAGGCCAGCTGAGAATCAAGTGCAGGGCAAAATCAAGAGTGTCAGAGAGGCAGGACATCCCCGAGACCTGCTACTTCAGTAAATGCCACAAACAGTCTCTCCCCTCACCAGAATAGCTTCAAATTTCATGACAAAGGCCAATTTATCTTAGTTCCTATTACTGGATCTAGCATGTCTTTCAACAATAACAAAAGAGGCATACCAAAAAGCCATAAAAAACATAGTTTCCTGAGAAAATGTCAGACTGTAAGAGGGACTCAAATATAACATTAAAATGACCAGAGAAGGGATTTTAAAGTACTCTGTCAGATAAACAAACAAGACAAAAGGATGCTGTTTTTGTTTTCCTTTTGTCTTGTTAATTTATCTGTCTTTGGCAGGGTCTAAGAAATGGAGGGACAAAGGGTAAACAAATCAGCAGTGGTACTCACTGGATACTGTTGAAAATGAACTATACCACTTGTGGGTGGGGATGGGAAGGAAAAACCGGAAGGGGTGACATTGCTCAAAAAAACTGTTTATCTGACCGTAACCCCTCTATGCATTGTTTTTATAATAATAAAAATGCATGAAAAATTAACATAACTCTAATAAGCATGTTCAGAGATCTAATGGTGAAAATAAAATGACTACGTCACAAAACAAATGACCAATGTAAGTAGAGGTACAAAGTGAAAGTATTTTAAGTGGTACAAATCAGCAATAGTTCAAAAACAAAATGAAGGTGGTCTCTGGATAGACTGGCCAAAGAAAGAATCAATGAACTTGAAAATATCTTGGTCAAAACTTCTCAAACTGAAATGCAATGAAAGAAGATGATGATATGATGATGATGATGATGATGATGATGATGAAAAAGAAGAATTCCATATCTAAGTATGGAAGAGGGAACAATTTCCAATGCTGTGACATACTCTTTAAGAAACAGAGGATATAGTTAAAGTAATATCTGTTGAGGAATTTCAAATTAATTAGCAAATACCAAAGCAAGAACTTGAGGAATCTCAACAAACACAAGCAGAATTGAAAAAAAAGGGGATTATACCAACAACCATGTCAGCAAGAAGAGAGTGGAGTGAAATATTTAGTGTGTGCAGTGTTGTGATGGCTTATTTATTGGATCTTTCATCATTTAAACCATGAAACCAATATTTCATTTTTTTCTGTTTTCCAGACTGTGTTTATTGAAGCATCCAGGAGAATCTTTCTGAAAGATATCAGCATGCCAGGCACCGGCAGCTGACACCTGTCAGCTTTAGGAGGTGGAGATCTGAGGATCAAGGTTTAAAACTTGCAGGAGGGTCCATAGGACTTTTATCTTCAATTAACCACAAAAATCCAGAAGTGGAACTGTGACTCAGGTGGAAAAGCACCAGTCTTGAGTGAAAAAGCACAAGGACAGCAGCACGCAGGCCTGTAGTTCATGCTCCAGGACTAACACACACACACACACACACACACACACATACACACACACACACACCAAAATAAATGTATCAGCAGCTTGAGATTGATATGCCAGTCAACATTTCATAGTAATATTTGGTCATTACATTTGTATGAGGGCAAATCAGTGTCTAAATAAGGAATTCTGACTGTGTGCTAATCTCACTTTTGGACACCGGAAGTTGATTAGATAGCAAGTTATTGGTAGATACTGATATAGAGAAATATATTAGAGAATTTCCCCAGGTAGTATAAAGAAGATACAAATGATATTGAAAACAGGAGAGATGGTTACTTACAGCAAGGTCAAGGGCATTTTCCTACTTAAAAAAATTACACTTGAATTGGTCCTAGAATGATTTGAAGAGAGCTACCCTGTGGAGATGTGTTCTAGTCAGGTAGAGCAAGGTAAAAGGCAGAAGGTGAAATAGGTAGCAAATCAGAAGAAGGCTATTGAAACTGAAAGGATGTGTGAGAAGAGAGAATTGTAACAGAGAATTTGCCAGTATGTTCAATAATTAAGCCCTCTTGCCAACAACAGGGTCAAACCAATAAGCTATGTCTAAAATGTGTTTAGCAAGCATTGGCTGTTTTCCAAAAGCAAGGTAAACTCAGGCAGATGGGCCTCTAATGAGAGATGAATGAATATTTCCTTTAGAATCACTCTAAATCACAGCATCTTGCTGAGACAGCAAAATTCAGTGTGGTCCATATAACATAAAATAGTTGATTCTCTCACAAGATAATTTTGAAAGAGCTTGAGCAATTTCTAAGGATTTGTGAATTAGTCATTCACTGCTATTTAATTGTTGGATTTATTCTAGGTGCTAGAACCTAAAACTTACTAAGGGAAATGTCTCCAAAAAGAGGAGCAAGAAAGCTGGGCAAAGTCTTAAATTTGTGCTGGTTTTGTTTGTTGTTTGTTTTGATTATATACATATAATCATGTGTGTTAGAATTTTCATTGTTTCTCTAAGGATATTTCCGCACCAATCATTAGTCTATCCATTCATTTATACATCAGATAAGTAAATCATAAAACCAAAGAAGTAAAACTTTGACATAGAACCTACTAACTTTTGTAATAAGAGAAAATATCATGTGTATAATTTTTAAGCAACAGAAATGAGAAGCATGGTTAGCTTGAGATCATAGACATGATTCATATATCTTAATTTCCTTTCACAGCCAGGCAAAGAAATGCAGAACTTCTTCCTTGCAATGTTCAAATCTTCCAAATTTGACAATGAATTTTATTAACTTTCAGTACAAACTAATCGACCAAAACACTGCAAACACCTGCTCACTCTTTTTTTGTGGTACCAAATTGAACTCAGGGCTAGGTATGTGCTTAAGTAAGTGCTCTACCATTGAGCTATAGACCCAGCCTTATTTGTTTTTTGAAGGTTAAACAGTCACCAAAATATATATGCAAATGTTAGAAGTAGTATGATTATGAGCTTGACAAGAAATGTCAAGCAATAAAATATTCTTCATTCTTCATATTAACAATGCTGAAACATGTGTTTTATTTTGTTCAACATCCAAGCATTTTTCTGCTCTCACATTTGGATATTTCTGATCTTTTTTTTTAACTTACTTTTGGTATGGAAAGCTATTCTTTCTGCTTATTTTGATGTCTTAAGAATATATCATTGATGAATATAAATTGTTGCTGACATGTTCATCATGATTATTTTCCTATTTTTAAATTTTTCTGTTAGATATTCAGCTGTCCAAAGATTGAGTTGTGCTTTGAAATAAAAGCACATTTTTCTTATGCCCCTGTAATCTAATTTGTGTTGAAAGATGTCTAGCAATAAAATTGCTAATTGTCTCACAGTGTCTAGAAATGAAGTTTATTTTTAAAAAAAATATAATACAAGGTTTTATATATTTTCTTCTGAGATGTCTAGCATTCATCTTGATAAATAGCAGTCACTAGGAAAAATCTTCTGGATTAATAAAAGTATGTCCTCTGCATACTCCACTTCTTTCATATTGTGGAAGACAGTGACCTTTTCCAAGTGGGGCAGTGCCCTTTATGTGACATCTGGG